TTTTTATTAACTAAATATTGCAAAAAGGAAAATCTAACATTTTGATCTATCTGATAAGTATTAAAACAAATGAAATTGGTTCTGACAATTAATTTCCATGCTGAATACTGGATAGGATTTTAAAAAATTAAATGAAATATCTCTATTGGAAAATTAGGTTAAAGTATCCTAGATTTTTATATTTAATGGTTTGTTGACAAAATTACTTCTTTGAATTAATTATTTATTAAGGGATAATGGAAGGTTTATGGAAGGGTAAGGTTGAAATGAAAAAGTTAGTTTCACGAGCGGGATTCGAACCCACGATCATCGGCTAAATACGCCGCTGCTCTACCACTTGAGCTATCGTGAGTTCGATCCACTCGGACACCAACTCTCCAGCGAAGGAAAAATTCGAACGGCTGTGGGTTGAATAAGTCGGTAACCTTCGGCCTGTTCGAATCCCGTTCGTGGCACTAACTTTTTAATTTCAACCAAAACCTTACATAAAAAGATTAATTAATCTAAAGTATTACGTTGAAAGAAAGACTAGTATTTCTTCTCTTTAGATACAGAAAAAGTAATGGAATACTGATTATAGTTTACAGACAATTTTTCTTTTATTGCTTATCCTTCTTATTTAATGGTATAACAATAAGGATAAAAAGAGTGATTATGCAATTACGTGAGGTCGAAAATCTGGGACAAATGTTCTTCAGTTCTCCCATTTACAAACGAATACAAAATAATTATCTTAGTTATTACATTTATCATACATGATCACCAAAAAAATCAGATGGTGTCTTCAACAGCAGCTAGAAATAAAAAGCTGACTTGATATGGGCAATTTTTCCATTTACTTATTGACTATTTACTTATTTACATTATTGAGTTACATAAGCTCAAATCTGCACATGCACATACACACATACGCACGTGTTCAGATTTGAGCCTATCTCTTTTGGCATTACACCGGCAATTCCGGCTTTTGTAATTGAAAATAAATTATAGGCAGGCCTCGAGAATCACCCACCTCTGGTGTTAGCAGTCTGGGGTCGAATCTCGTCTTTCCGACCAGCTACCGAGAATTGGCTTCATGGGCTAGCAACTGCAAGGTGGTTTCAGCCTCCAATCCAATCAGCCTCCCATTCAAGCTCTCAATCACTCTTCAATACTTCTTTCCTATTTACATACTATTCACTTATTTAGGGTGGTGGAGGACTTGATATTCCTCCATCAACTTTAAACTTATATAATAACTAATTGAGGGTCGATAGATAATCTATATTCGCCATCAGCCCTCTCCCACTACACATTTGTAACTCATCTTTAGGGGAATTCCAATTATGAAGGGGAACATTTAGAAAATCATTGCGATCCTCATATTTAAAGCATATTTTTAACGGACAAGTTTCGAATAAAATATTTAAGAAAACTTAAATTCACTAATTTCGTGGTACGCTTGACCAATTAATATATTACAATTTAAGGTTTTTAGTCGAGATAAAAAAGTCAATGGCAAGAGCGGGATTCGAACCCACGATCCTCGGCTAGATACGCCGCTGCTCTACCACTTGAGCTATCGTGACCTCGATCCACTCGGACACTAACTTCCCATCTCAACCGCACCTTTTGAATTTTCCCTCCTTTTTGCCATTTTTCAATTTTAAGAAAACACTGTTGAATTTTGTAGTGAACTTGCAAAAACTAGTGAGCCTTATATTGTATAAAAAAGTAACAATGCCATAAGTAGGAACATAAACATAATTAATTTAAAATGATAAAACGATGATTTTACAGAACTTCTTTGTGGTTGAGGTACGTAGATTCATCTCACTTTAAAGCCGTTACAAACGCCGAAGAAATTCCTTCAACTGTTCATAGTGAATTTATAATTTAATGTGGATTTGGATTTATAGAAGATCAATTATGCACATGTGTGAACACATATACACGCATGTGCAGAGTTGAGTGTATCACTTCTCGCAGTCCACCGACAATTTCAACTTTTGTAATTTACAAAAAGTTACAGGCAGACCTCGAGAATCACCCATCTTGGCCGTCCGGGGTCAGACCAGGGTCTTCTCCGTCCAGCCACCGAGGTTGGGCTATCAACAGCTAGGTCATTTCAGCACCCACAATGCACGTAGTTCCTAAATCCAAACTTATTAGCATTTTCACACATTCTTAAATACATTCTTTCCTATGTACCAAGTGAGTTGGGTAGTGGAGAATTCCATATTCCTTCATCACCCTTTACACACATTACATAACTGTACTAATTGAGGGTCCATGGTGTTATCAATACTCCGCCATCTCACACGATATATTCGCGCTAATAAATATATTCCCTCTCAACACTTACTCGGCGGCACAAAACTATCAGTACTGTATACATAAAACAACCCTTTTCCCTCCAAAAATCGGAACAGGGGACCCAGGTACTCGCTGCTCGAGCACAATTGTCATATCGAGTGGCATTCCTACGCGCTCTCTATACGGAGCCAAGGAGTTGCACCCTTCAATTTGGTCAATTTTTTTTTAGCAATGGAGAATAGATCGTTTATTTTAAATGAGTAAATTTTATATTATGTTTATTAAGTTATTTAATGGATTCTTGTTAATTATGACTTCTTATACATTGTATATACAAATACAAAAGTACAATCATAATAAATAAATAAAACTAGAATAAAACATTAAATTGTTAAGTTTATTTTAATATTCGTGCTAATTAGTCATCTTTTTATTTTTTCTTGGTTAAAAGATGGGCAATTTTATTAAAAATGTTTTTGTTAAATAATATTTTGCACTTCAAGAATCAATTATCTTTCAAATTTAAAATGCTTCAAATGCCCTGAATAATATAATAAATATAACTAATACTAATTTTACTTTTTATACTAATTAATAAAACAGAGCAATTACAATCAATATTGTGTTTATTATTACATAAGATAATAGGTAATTTACAGTTTATGGAAACGATTGCAAATTTATTAACCCAATTTAACAATAGGATTTAATAGTATCTGTTTTGCCTAACAAGATCTAGACTAAAAAATTAATGTTTATACTTACGATAATTGTGTAACAGTTAACTTAAAAAGCTTGTATTTGAAGATGTTTCGTGTCTGAGTTCATGTATTGTAAATTCTATGAATATACTAGAATAACATTGGGTCTTATTTTATTTTCGTTTTTATTCGTTTTAAGGCCGAATTCTTATTTTGAAGCATTAACACCATTTTAAATATAATCTATAAAAGAATTTCTCCATTTTTTGAAAGTGGCATTTTTCATAATCTATTGAAATTAATATAGTCAGAAAGGTGGAAAACGAAAAAAATATTTTGCTGTAAAATTTAATCAGAATAGAAACACATGTTGTGAAAATCATGTCAAAATGGCATAACTGCAAACGCCCGCGCAGTTCTCGTTGGTGTAAAAGTTTTATTTTTAAATCTTCGGTAAAATCGAAACTAAAAATAATAAAATATTTGCAAAAATGACTAAACAATATAAAAAACAACCTTATAAAGAGTCTTTGAATGTTCTAATTTTTTGTTACGTTGAAATATTTTTGTGCTATTTAACCAAGGCAAATCATCCTGTATATTGGTTTTTAATTAATTAATTTTTATTTACTTATATTTTAATCAGATGTTGTCAAATATTGTAATATGAAATACTTAAGGGTTTCCTCCTAAAATTGGTTGACGAAATTTTTGAACTTGAAAGATTTTAGAGTTGGTGCTGGGTGTTCGTCTGCGCGTCTGCTTTGGTCACATATTGGGTCCGGCTACGTTCGTGGGTTTAAATAGTTGAAAGATCTTAGTTGAGCTTTCCAGAATGTAACAAGTAAAGAAAGAAAATACAAAAACAACTTACTATCCCGAATTTTTTTAAATTTTAGTCTAACACTTATTTATTGCTTGTTGGGCTTTTTGCTGTAATATCATTAATTTGCACGAGTTAATTTTTTAATTAGAAAATTTGAAAAGAAACGAAACTTGTTTTTTGATATTTGGCAGAGCAATGGGCACAGTCAGACTGCAAGAGTCTAATCAAAGCTTGTTTGATTGCAATTTATAATAATCGACGCTATTTTTCTTTGTTTTTAATAATTATTTTTAAAATTTTTAGATTTTAAAAGGAAATTGTGTTTTTTCAGGCTTTTCCTTTGTAAAAATATTTTAATGTAATTTATGATTCAGCTTCCTAACTTGTGGTATAGACATTTCTAGTGAGCTTTTTTTCTAGAGCTCTAGTTACACAAGAGCTCTTATTTTTAGTCCAATTAAAATTGGATGTTGGTTTAATATAGAAAATGGTTTAATATGGAAAATATAGAAATGAAAATTATAGGTTAAAACTGAATCACTAAATTGCACAAAGTCTTAGGTAGTAAGGACCAAATAAAAAAAATATAAAGGGTCATTGAAGTAACACACTTTACAAAGAATATTTTAGTTAATAGTTTTTCACTTATTTATACTATAATTAATTTGTGTTTATTGATTAATTTTATTGGGGTTAGATCAGTTCTGTTTGAATGTTTTTTCTTTTTGCACTTTGTTTTTGTAGTATAGAATAATTGAAATTTCCAAATAAATTTATACATAAAGTACTGTTTGAGTCAAATGTTTTTATTTGAGTATGTTTTTTAATTGCATTGACAAAAAAATCGGCGAAGATCAAGCCAACATGGCTGGCGCCGGAGTGCAACAGGTTTCGGCGAACGTTACTACGAGAGTATACGCTATTTGCTACTCAAGAAGCACACAGGGCAACTTTTCGCACCACTTCGTTCTAAATCTATTTGCTATTTTTTTAATATAAGGGTTCGAAGTCTCCAGCTGACAGTATAAAAGACATTTACACATTGAAAAAAGCCCACTAAAGCATGCATCACGGATTTCCTTCTTATCCGTCTGGATTGTCAGCTAAGCATGAGTCGACGTCTCTCCTAAGCATGCTACTAAGAAGGGGAGGATGATGTGATGTGTTTTTATATTCACCTGGTTTATGTGTAGGAAAAGTAAGTTAGGTGTCTGGGAGCGTAGTGCTGTATCGTAAAGGGGGGCAAGCCCCCACCAAAGGGGCTTTAGGGGGTCGATCGGGCCGGCGCACTCCCCGCCGATTCCCTACCCCTTTTACTCGCCTAGTCAATTATAATTGTTGACAAAACAGCCTGGACCTGGAGCTAGTTTTGTGTGAGGGACTTTGTTTTGGCGAAAGTCGAAAAAACCGCCTTCTGGCCCGTGGGGTCCGTTTATCCCTAAGTTCGAAAAAGTGGAAGAAAAAGCAATGAGTAACGTGTTTTAAAAACAAACGTCACATCCCTTACACCTGATCAAACGTTTCAATTCTCAAATTGGGCCATTTAACTAATGAAACAATGATTTTGGACTTAACCTCAAGGGATTTACCCTCCAATGTCATAGATCATTTAGCAAGAGGGTATAACATTTATCGTCCACACCCCAAACAAATCGTTTTCCAATAATTTTACCTTTTAACTTTTCACAAAAAACAATTGCAAATAAAAATCCAAAAATTCGTTATATGACAAAAACCGTATTTATGGCATAAATGGAAAGAAGATGAAATAACGAGCGGTTAAGGTAATAAAAGAAATACATGAAGAACATGTAAGATCATTTATAGTGAGTGATGGAAAATTAGACTATGGGATGAAACTTCCCAGAAAATAATACAAAACCTAAAAAATAATAACGAATTCTCAAAAATGCAGACCTGCATGAAGGGCGAAATATGAACTTTTTTGAAAATTTGGACATGTACAAACATAACACGCTAAATCGATTAAAAGGAAAAAGGACAGCCGATCGCAAAGGCCGACCGAAACAATAAAAAAGACTAAATCCACCAAAGATACAGACCCACTAACCTCACCATCTTATAGAAAGAGGCTTTAGTTAACAAAAAGCACCCAGGCAGCAGCCAAACACTGAAGATTGACTGATGATAATATTTTTTATGTGTTAGAACTTAATTAAGAGTACATACGATGAATTAGTTTGAGCAAGTTTTATAAACTGAATGACTACACAACTGTGAGTAATTTAAACAAAACTTGATTCAATTGAAACAAAAACAAAGTTCTGCTTTGATTTACGCCTCAAGGTTGCCATTATTTTCTGAATACACCTTGCATCTTGTCTATATTTTCCATTATTATTTTCTAATTTCAGCCTTCTAGACTGATATAAAATAGTATTCTCAATTGTAATTTACACGCATTTTAAACTGTAATAATTAGATAAAAAATGTATGTCAAATTAAAAATAAAAATTTTAAAATAAATTAATAAGAAAATTCGTCATGAAAAAGCCAAAAGAAATAATAATATAATAAACAATCAAGAGATTTTATTCAATCGGCCGAACAGCCAGGAGAAAAAAGCAATGAGTACCAATAAAGTTTTGTTGAAATATGTCTACGACCATCAACAATATTTAAGCTAGGTGTAAAAAGTTAAAGACATATCAACTTTTAAAATGTGAACATAAAAACAATAAAGTTGTCAAGATGGAATCTGAAAGTAAATTCAATAGCGAAAAACCTACGTTAAAGGCTATAAAAGAAAGCTTCACACGTATATAAACCTTGTATAAAAAAGAACATATAGATTTAAAATATAACTAAACTTTATTGGATATTTTTTCAAAAACCGAGGGATCATATAAGCTAGAATTTTTTTCTTTAAAAAACCCAACGATTCCTTATAATATTGTTGTGGACAACTAGCCCTCTTTAAGATTGATAAAACATATATGCCAAGTATTTGGTTATGAGAGGATTATGTTCCTGAGAGGGACTTTATTTTGACAAGTGGGTTAAAGCCTCCTTCGGACATCCAGTCCGACGTTCTAAAAGCGTCAGAAAAAAACCAAAGAGAGGGACGATATACAGAGGAAAATATTTATCTACCATTACAAGTTTTTTAAAAACCTTTTGGGGGGGAGATCGAATGTTGTGGTAACTTTTTGGCTACATACAACAAAAAATCTAATGAAAATAATATTTTAATAAAGCCAAGAAGGCCTGTTTTAACTTCTCATTTGGGTCCACTTAAAAATGAATTCATTTCTCAATTCTAGGGTCAAAGTCAAAGATTTTTCCCAATATTTAATTAAATACAATTGTTACTTTCTAACTTACGTCATGATACAGAACAGCTCTGCTTTAACCAAGTGCAGAGAACACCAGGAAATGTAATCGTTCAGGTTCAGTTAGTTCACTGTCCTTGAAGCAAATATATTCCGAACATCTTATCATCCTAGATGTAATATTGTTGTCCAACCTGAATATAGAAGGTATAGAAGTTACATTCATTCTTGTACCATATCATTCGTAAATACAAAGAAATTGACTAGCACAGCGAAGGAAGCCGAAAATACGAAAGTGACAAATAATAAGTGTATACCATTAGATTCAGAAAGACCTTGACAACAGGAATGAGCATCAGAGTCAGACAATAAACTAAGGGTGATTAATAAAACGGTGCTAGTTTAGTCCACGCATACTAAGTATAGGTTAGGGGCTGGTATTTATGAAAAAAACCAAGGACTAGAATGTATGTCTTGGGCAATGTACCACTGTCTTTTAGCGGAGAATGTGTCACACTATCAAGGAGATTAAAAGTATTGTTAACAGAAAAATAGTCATCTACTCGGACAAACAAGCGGTACTAAGGATAATTAGCGCATCGGTAGTAAAGTCCATGGGATTGCTCAACGGCCCTGTTCGACATTTTCGTTAACAATAAAATCTCACTGAGTAGTCTGAGTACCAGGGCAACGAAGTGGCCGATAAATCGGCCAAATAAAGATCGATGAAGGCAGATATCGGTGCTGAATTGTTTTGTGACCTACCAAACTGCGAAAAATGTGCATCCATTAGACAATGGATTAAAAATCAGTCCTTGCTTCAATGGGAATGTAGGTCAGGACAGAGGCGGAAAAGTTCACCAAAGTATCATCGCATAAACTAACGGCATAACTACTAAATATAGAAGGTTTTTGGACTAAAATAATAGTTGGACTGCTGACTAGACATTGTAAGGCATATGTACAGATTCGGAGCGGCAGAAACAAGCTTGTGCATATATTGCCTGGAAGAAGAGGCAACGGAACATGCTCTCTGTTGGTGTGAAGGCTTATGCTTAGGTTATGATTCCTAATCCTGGGAGGACAAGGCCGGCCTGAAGGATACACACGGTAGTCTTTGAAAAAACTTTGATATCTAGTAAAAAACCTTAAGCTCAATAAGGTCTCTAGGCTCAATGAGGGCTCAGATGCACAATAGAACAATGCTTGTCGCGCTGTGTAGGTCGTAAAGAGGCTGACTCAATAATGTAACAAAGAAAAGTTATTTCACTTGGAGAATACACGCCTTTGACATATGGATATGTTATATGTAGCGGTGTACGTGTGTGCCTTTCATAATATCGTCTGGTAACAATGGAATGTACCATACACAATATTTAAGGTGCTGGATAGCAAATCAGATAGAATAGAAAAAATTATACAGTACATGAAAGACGAAAGTATGAACATCAATTACTAAGAATGATAGTACCTTCAAGAAAATGTAGAAGAATATGGAGTACACTGCTCCATAACCATTTCGATCATTTTGAATGAAATTAGTTATAAAAATGGCATATTAAGATCAGAAAAGAAATAAGAAGAACAAAGAGTGAGCGACAATGCCAGACAGGGATCATCATCAACATTTGACCGTCCATATCACTTATGTACATATTATAAATAAAAGGGAGTTTAGGGTGGGTCTGTGAGCATATCATAATTGTTTTATAGTAGAGAAATAATGATGTACAAAGGAAAGCAAAAAAGATCGACAGATTAGTAAATAAAAATAAAATCCAAATAGTCTGTCTATTGGACTAAAACAAGTCAATAAAAAGCGTTTACATTGATGGTGGATTACGACTTTTTTTCAATTTTATTAGATAATGTTTTTTTTTTGTTTTTTTTATAACTTTGCTTTAAGGAAAGCTAACTTATGGCCTTACGTTAATCATGATAATGTTAACTATACATAAAAATACTTTTGGACTACCTAATTAACACTCATTGACTAGATACATATATAAAAAGTAAACTTTTCATAACAAATGACCTCTAATTTCTAAATTACCTTTGGTTTTTGACCAAATTTCTCATAGTAGGCGTTGAACCAGATTTTTATAAATTATGGTGCCGGAAATTTTAGTATTACCAAAAGGGGAATATTCATAATCGACCGATCTCTTCCAAAACTCCATCATTGGGGTATTACACTAAGATCAACTCGAAACAATATTTCCTTGTTCATCCCTCTCACTTTCCATCTTCAAGAAGGCAATTAGTAAGGTCTTAATGGTAAAGTAAAAAGTGGACGTTTACTTTTATGAAGTATAACCGGTAGAGAATGATCTGGTTTTAATTAATTTGCCGTTTTAATGACAACATATTGATTCTTGCTTGAAATTCTTGTTACAATGTTTGATGCTTAATTGAGGTCTGTTTAATTCGTACTTTCTTGTATTTATCACAATGTATTACGGGTTACAAAAAAAAAAGTTTGATTCAATGAGACTTTTAGAATAAGAAATTTGTTGGGTAAATTTTGAGTTTTTTTGTATGTACGTTCAGTTCTTTATACGATTGATGATATGTTTTTAATGTTTTTATAATTACAAAGCCTTATTTTTTTAAACGATAATTTTTTATATTAATCACGGTTTGGGTGAATCATTGTTTTATTAAATAATTGATTTAACTCTGTATTAATAGGCAATAATAAATCAAAATCTTTTTTTTAAAGTATTTATCACAATCACAAAAGCGTAGCGCAGTTTGAATTTGTAAAACGCAGAATCAAATTTCTGTATATTTGAAAAGATGTTAGAAAAATGTAGTTTACAAATTTAATCGGATATTCTAATAAAACCAAGGATAAAAGTTTTATGTATAAATTTGCTAATAAATTTTTGTGAGTGTATCTATTGTGTTATCGGTTCGTG